CGTCCTTTCTGCACATATCTGTTTTGTAGTTGTCTAATTTTATAATTGGTTCTGACCATATTCTGTTTTCTGTTTTTCTTGTTCTGAAGGGTGATTTAAATCACTTTGAAGGTAGCGAGAAGAATGTGGATGAAGCATTAATGGTAGATATGTCTCTTACATCCTCTTCTGCAAGTGGAGCAGGAGGTGGAACAAGAGCTGGACTCTTTAGAACTCCAATTTCTGGCGGGGTGCAGAGTGCAACTTCAGTTCATGGTTTACCCCGTCCCGCCTTAGCTGTACGCAATCTTATGGAGCAGGTAAAAACAGTTTCTCTTTTTATTTATTTATGTTTAACTTCTTAAGATTCACAATATCTTCACTTGGAGAAGATTTATTTTGCTAGTTGATTGTTTATTTTTAAGCTTCTAAGTATGTCTTGCTTCCTAATTCAAGGCCAGATTTGCTCATTTGTGCACCGTAATGTCTCGCATGCACCACCGGCGACAAGGATATCCATTCGGTTCTCTAGTTGATTTTGCACCTGATTCATCAGGGCGTAAGTTATTGAACTTTTACATTTAGTTAACCAGTTCTTTGTCATTCCTCAATAAAAAAGAATTTGCATGTAAAGTTAAAGTCTAGGTGGTCTTAAAGTCCTCTTGCTATGTTCTTTTTGTTTGTACAACCTGAACAATTGTACAGAGGCCGTTTAATAGAGTCTATTGTGTCCTTATTTATGTTGGTTGACAATTTGAACCATAAACAAGTTTGTTTCTTTTGGTCTGTATTTTGGACCTCTGCCGATAAAGCTATTATTTATCAATGATATGCAGATCCTATATTTTCGTTTTCGCCGTTGGCCATCCACACAAGGAATTTGTTAGCTGATCCAAGATGCACACTTGTTGTGCAGGTTAGTGATTTGATTGCTTCTATTTGACTTTATTTAGTCTATTTTTCTCCATTTGGATTTTGTTAAAAGTTAGCTCTTGTAGATTCCTGGATGGAGCGGCTTGTCAAATGCAAGGGTAACCATTTTTGGTGATGTCTACCCACTTCCAGAGCATCAACAGGTGATTTTCTAACTCATACCCTTGCAAGGACATATTTGGTTGCCTGGGCACAATTTTGTGTTTTTCCTCTAGCCAGTGGTTATCTGCAACAAGAAGCTCTCACCTTAGAATGTGCTGAGCTTGAAGACTACAGTGTCTGGGGCATCCCATTTGGTGCACTCTTCTTGCCAGTCATGAAAAATTTGAGTTGTCAGCATACTTTTAACTCGCAGCTGTTGCTGCTGCATGTGTGCTTAAATATGTGTGATAGAGAGCAATGTATTACTAGACAATTAGCAGTAGGTTCATTGCATTTGGCTGTGTTTGTAGGAATGGGCTCATAAGCAATACATAGCAAAGCATCAACAGGGGCCTTCTCAACAATGGGGAAACTTCTACTACTTCAGGATGCAGAACATAAGGTTGTTTGTTTGTTTTGGCTTGAGTAATTAGTGTTATTTATGTTGATTCCTTGACTAGAAAGGTTCTTGTGTTTCATGCTGTTTTCTTTGCATTGTGTCTGTAATTGGATTTTGACTGCTAGTGCTCTTGTGAACCATAAATTGTCAAAACCATTTTGAGACAGGAACCTTTTATGAACTCCTGAAAGTAAACCTGTGTCAAGGTCCTCGTAAAAGCTTTGTCCATTTACAACTGGGGAAGGCTAGTTGTATTTTTTATTAGGTGGTAAAGTTGTGACTGAACCATTAGGTAGAATCCATTGTGCTGGATGCGGCCTTTCTCTTTTGCTTGTTCTTACAGAATGGAACTTTTAGGGCACAATAGTAATGCGCATTGGAGTGGGAATTTATTCACAAGGATGAATTAGGTGATGCGTTGACCATGTAGAAGAATAACTCTGTCCAAATATTTCCATGTTTTCTGAGACGATCATAAGTGGTACTATGCATTTCTTGGCATGCTGGAACTTATATTCTTTTTATTTCTTGCAGTGACATATATTTCATTGGTGGCTTTGGCACTGTTGCTTGGGTTGACGTCAAAGAATACGAGGCCCTGCAGCCTGATAGGATTGCAGTTAATGGAGGGGAACAGAACCTGAAGGTAAATACTCTTAATTATTTTATTAGAGAGGAAATTATATAAAGGGGCAAAGACTTGAATTTTCAATAATCTTAATCACACACACATGCATAAGGCTGTAAGGGATATTTCTTTCGTGTTTTGAATACGCTCTCAATAGATATTGGTCGACTTTTAGCATGCTAGTATTTATCTGCTTGTATGGGGCCTTTAAGTTGATGTCGTTTCCCCCAAGTAAATTTTGCAAATTTGCATATCACTCCTCTTTGCCAGTTAGGCCTACTCAGTTTTAATTTTCCATTCATATAGGAACTGAATGCAATGTTTTCAAAGCCCCTAAAAGAGCTTTTATCTGCCGAGTCTGAGGTGGATGATGCTGCTCTCATATCCATAGACAGCAAAGGAACTGATATTCGGGTCCGCCAAGGTGCACAGGTAGGTTTCTAAGGTAACAACCTTCTAAATCTCTAACATTCCTCGGATTCTTATGATTTAAAAAATCATCTTCCTCTCCATTTGCAGTTCAACATACAGAGGATATCATTTGACGAAGGCCATTCTGTCGAGACACTTGAGGAAGCGAAGGTTGCTCTCCGAAAGCTGATAAACAAAGGCCGAGTATTTAAGTTATAGAAGTGATGACAGTGATTTGCTCGTGATGCATTTCCTTACAAGAGAATGGACCGGTAAAACAGGTCGCTGTTGTTTCGAACTGGGGAAAAAAATAATAACCGCACCCTGTTTCGTCAAGCTACATATACTGTTGTTAACCTATAGGAATTGTAATAGCTCCATTATTTAGTTTGGAGTTGCACACAAGGTGTTGCTTGCTCGTGCTTGGTGGCCCTTGTGCTACTGACACCCTTCTTCTTAGACTCACATAACTCTGCCTCCTCTTAATTACTCTCATCTTACGTTTTTTTGCTATTTTTATTTTCAGTAATATTTTTGTGCTTCAATATAAAACTTGTCTTGATGCCCTAATTTTTATGAATCTGACGAGTAGGGTAGCGCGGCTTGTAACTCAGCAGGATATTGAAAAGATTAGTTGTATGAGAATGTTGTGTCTGGCCTTAGGTAGGGTTACACGTGGCACGTCATCTATTCGTGCAAGACTCATAGAAGGGGACCCTTTGGATTCTGGTTCGATACAGTCCCTTTTTGTTGAACTCGAATGCAGAGGGAAGATAATTTTTTTGTACCAAAGATGTCACATTGGCGGTATTTTACGTCGACGACGCATTGTTACGAGACGGTTATTATTTCGTATAAATACAACAATTCGTTAGACCCACATATGGGAGGAAGACGTTAGACTTTTCTCATCCCATCTTGTCAATAATGTGGATAATCTCTCTTTGAAATGGATAATGTGCCGTGGGTTTACCAACTTCATCTTGTTGGAGCCTTCATTAGTCTATTCGATGCCTCTTGAGAGAATCCAAATTTCAGATCCAACGGCCCACATCTTGCCACATGTTTGTCAGGGGATTGGATTTCTCCACGTCATTGCATAATCTCAACGTCGGGACAAACATTCTCAGGTAGCATCAAAATTCCATGAGCTCGCGGCTTGTGCCTGGCAGACTCAGGGCTGTTTTGGTATTGCTGTGCTTTGAAAAAAAAGCTGCTGTGAGAATAAGCGGCTGTGCTGTGAGAATAAGCAGCTGTGAAATAAAGCAGCAGAGTGTTTGGTAAACTTTTTTGTAAAAGTGCTTTTGGAAAAAAAAGCAGTCTGATAGTGTGTCTTTTCATTAAAGGAGCACTGTAGCTCCGTGTGCTTTGAAAAAAAACCAGTTTTCCAAAGCTGCAAATAGCAGCTTCAGCTTTTTCCTTTGATTTCAGCTTATTCTCACAGCAGCTTCCAAAATAAGCCCTTTTTTTTCAGTTTACCAAACACCTAAAACCCTTACAGCTTTTTTTCATGAGTATTTTTTTTTAAGCACCTTACTCCCAAACTAGGTCTCAATTTATAGCTCCGCCGACTTTCAATGGTCCTCTCTTGCATTGCATCCTTGATTTGTCTACAAAAAGAACAGACAGTCCCACATTCTATGTCACACCGCTGGATGTCAGAAAACTAAATAAGGATAAGATTGCCAAATTAGGATACCTGTTGCACCAGGTGGGCCCTAGCGTGAGATCGATTGGAATTAAAATACATAATTTTTATGTTTTTGTGAGAGCTGTTTTACAAAAGATGTGGTGTCTAATACGGGTGCACCTACACACGTTTTAATCTTGTGTACGAGAGCATATCCTCCACATGCATGAAACTTTGGAATTTGCCAATTTTACCGTTGTAAATAGATATAAACATTAACAGTAATGAAAAGCAAATCAAGAAAGAATTAATAAACAAATACTTTTTCTGTTTTTTCGTTTGTTTATTAAATCTCATGACAAGAAATAAAAAAGCGTGTGTGAAAACCTAAAAACGATATATGAAAATCACCTCCCTTCATATATTTAGACATGTGAAAACATATAACACTCTGATTCAAACGCATCACTTCTTCTAATGTTGAAAAGAAAAATACTACTCAACTGATAACTAGTCGGTTACTCATATTGGCATAACACAGATAGGTGTACTGCATCATGATATTTTTAATTAGTTCGTGCTTACATTGTTTATATTGGAGAGCGCGGAATCGATTACATGACTTTAAGTGCAAGAATAAATGTTCTTTTTAACTACTTTTAACTTCAAGTTTCTTGCTGTAGGTGCTTACATTTTGAGTTTCAATCCCTTGGCTCACCATCTGCAGAAAGAAGGGGCTTGGATTTTTGTCCCATTAACCCATAACTTCAATTTCTGGTTAAACTCAAAGTTAACTCACAATAACAACTCTAGATAAAAGATGAACCATGCTTTGTTGGAGTGAAATTTGAAATTGAAAAGCTCATAATTTTCATAAAACAAGACAAAAAACAAGAGGGGCACTACAATCCAATCCTCCTCTCTCTTTTCCCAAACAAAGTTTTACCGTCTTCTGAAACCAACAATGAAAAGGAGAAGAAAAGAAAGAAAACAGAAAACGTTTACCTTTCCTTTTGCCAATTGCCATGAACAATAATCTGAGCAAATCATAAAACCCCATTTTTGTATCCCTCTATAATTCCCACTTCCCCAACAATCACAGCCATAAAACCCCAAAAACCCAAGCTTTCATCAATGGCAGAAACCAGCACTAGCAGCAGAAGCAGCAGCTTCGGTTACTCCTCCAGTGGCTCACCAATTTCCAACTTAGCCCAAGACCACCTCTTTACAATCCTGCTGCGCCTCCCTGCGGATTCAATTCTTTGTTTTGCCATGACCTGCAAAAAGTTCAGAGCTTTGGCAGCATCTGACAGTCTGTGGGAGTCCATATGCTGGAGGGACTGGGGACCCAAATCAGTAGAGGCCCTCAAAGCTTCAAACTTTGGCCTACAGCAGCTGCCATGGATGAGGCTACAAGCAAGTCTCTAGGGTTGATTCTGTTTATTGCCGTAAACTTTCTGACCCAGATGGGGGATTGGGATTTCCATGTCCCAGGGCCTCTCATTCCCTAAATTTTGTGTCTGGTTGCTTGGTGTTGTTTGGTGGTGGATGTGAGGGAGGTTAGTCAGTTAATCTTGCTTAAAATAATCCCTTCTCAAATTTTGTTTTGTTTGTGATATATTTCTTTTTATTACAAGTGGTACTACTGCTCTAGCTAGACTAAGGAGGGGAGGGTTTGAACGCGATAGAGAGGGGTTTGAACACGATATGTAGTAGGTTGAAGAGGAAGACCCTATCCACTAGGCCAATCTAGCACTTGCATGAATACCTTGTGTTCTTGAGTTTGATGATTTGTTGTTAATTTTGTTGGTTTTAATTAATTATACTGTATGTTTTATTGAACTTTATGATCTATTGGCTGGATGGAAGCCACTGCTCATGCATTGTTGTCTATATGCTCATAGCTATTTTATGTGCCTAATTGGGCATGGAGTCTGCTGGTTTTCATGCCCCCTGGTACTTGTTCCATGTCAATTCTACTGTCTCTATTAGGTTTTGGAGGCTTGCTGATCTTGCAAAATGAGTTGAGATATGTGAGCATTACTCGACGAGATGCCTAATTGTTTATTGTTTAGGATCACCATGGTAGTGCTGAAGATTTTGGATTTATAACTGATTTCCTGTTATGATATGTATGCAGGAATAAGGCTTTTAGAAGTCTGACCAACCCGAAACTGACCAGATACCGAAGGTGTCTACATTAGAAACACGGCCTTACGAATATTTGGCAACCTGCTCAACTTCTAAATCCTCTCCCCCTCCCGGTTTCTTATTTAGATAAACCAAATTTTTCAAATTTTTGTAGTTAGCAGATATTGGTTTGAACAGAGTACAGGATGTATCTTGGAAGCACACATTTTTCTTAATCAGAGAGGTTAAAGTAGTACTAGTGTTAATGCCAAGGTTCTCATGATTCCGATATACGCATTTCTCTTAGTTTATGGATGATGAAAGCATTCAAGGCTCAAGTAGACCACTCCAAAGCTGATGCTTGGTTTGGTCCTTGTATCTGCCTCCTGCCAGGAAACCAACATGTTTGCAGGACTGCAGAATATTAAGTGAACAATCTGAAAAAAATTACTTGTGTGTTCGTTTCTGATATTCTGAAAGTTCAATCTAATAGGTTTCTAAAACCCTATTCAAGTGCCTCTCTTTTGTAGATTGCCTGTTTCTAACTTGTAGACGGCAATAAAATTGTTTAAGAAACAATATAAACAACTGAAGATGCTTGAGGCTGCCTTTCTATAGCTGAACACCATGTCTAAAACTGTATTCTACTTCGAATATTTTCATGGTCACTAAGTAAGAGAGTTAGCCGTCCCTTCCCCTGGAAAATTCAGGATGCATATGGATTCTTGGACGTGTACCAGTTGGTCCCCCTGCTAGGGGTTCAAATTATTGCAGATATTTAGAAATTAAATATATGAAAATTGTACACACTATACAACAACCACCATCTTAAATAAATTGTCTTCTGAATTTGTTCCTAGGGGCATGCTTGTGTTTCTTTGTTATGTACTTCAAATTTTAATATCTGATTATTCTGTTTCTGTTGTTTGTTATTTTAGGACGCCATCTAGACGACACATGGGTGGCATACATTGGTAATGATTTTCGGAGAATGTTGAAGTGGCAGAAGATAAATTCTGGCATTCCAAGTGGTAGGTTCGGGCATTCGTGTGTTGTAATTGATGATTTTCTCGTTATGTTTGGAGGAATAAATGACAATGGGGGCCGTCACAATGATACATGGGTGGGGCAAGTAGCATGCCATGAGAGTCTTGGTGTCACACTCTCATGGAAGCTGCTTGTTGTGGGATCCGACGCACCTTCCCAGCGAGGGGCTCATGCTGCGTGCTGCATTGACGGCAGAAAGATGGTTATCCATGGAGGAATTGGGCTCCACGGTGTGAGATTGTGTGACACATGGGTGTTGGAACTCTCAGAAAATTTTCGGTTTGGAACTTGGTACGAAATCGGGACTCATCCATGTCCCCCAGCTCGTTCGGGACACACACTGACCTGCATTGGAGGAACACGAACGGTTTTATTTGGTGGGAGAGGATTAGGTTACGACGTGCTTAATGATGTCTGGTTCTTGGACATTTGTGATGATAATCCGAAATGGGTACAAGTACTCTATGAGCTACAAAATGTTCCAAGAGGAGTTTCTCTTCCACGAGTTGGTCACTCAGCCACACTCATGTTAGGCGGCCATCTGCTGATCTGTGGGGGAGAGGATTCGTACAGACACCGGAAAAATGACTTCTGGATTTTAGACATAAATGCAGCTCCATCCATTACAATGCAGCAGCCAACTACGCTGAACTCCATGCAGGTATCTGCAAAAAGGTGGAAGAGGTTGAAGGCAAATGGTTACAAGCCCAAATGCCGGTCATTCCATCGAGCCTGCACAGATAACTCGGGGCAGTACTTGTTTGTGTTTGGCGGAATGATGGATGGGTTGCTTCAGCCGTCTGACCCTGCCGGATTGAGGTTTGACAGCGAGCTTCTGCTTGTGGAGCTTGTGCTGAGGTGATAGTGTTTTCATGGATGCCAGTGCATTGCTCCATGTCTTGTACATTGTAGCTCGTTACTTGCTCTTTACATCTCTTAAGAATTGAGATTATGTTTTTGCTTAAGGAAAAAGAAAAAGGAATTGAGGTCTGACTAAATGGCTTTTATCCAACACCGTTTCCTTCCCCTTCTCCTTCGAAATTTCTCGTATAAGAGTGTTTATTACGTAGAGTGATGTTTCAGGGCGACCGGCCACCTAAATGTTTTCAATTTACTATGTTATAAATTATAATGTGTATACAGGTTTATCAATAATAAAAAATTGTCGCCAACTTATATTACATGTTTTTTTTTATTTTTTTTTATTTTAATAATAAAAAGGGGGATAACTGATGGTAAGTTACGGTTATCCACCCTTCTGGGGGCCGGGAAGACTCATAGAGGCATTTTAGCCTCTTTTTAGCCAAAAGTCTGGCTTCTAGACCAGCAGCAGGTTTCAAATCCGAGACCTTCGACTTTTAGTTTTAAGGAAGTCTCGTAATCCGTCCTTTACCACTGGGTCACCAGCTCATAATTATATTACTTGTGAGAATTGATAACCTTGCGTGCCGTACTAAAAATATTTAGTTTGGTATAGTTTACGTTTTAAATTCAAATACGAAATTAGAGTTTAGCAACATGTATCTCAATGGTAAATTTTTTGAGATGATAAAAAAAATTTAATGAAAGAACTTGAATTAAATTTTATCCCATGTGTTCCAAGTGCTTTTTCGTTTCGGAAACTGATTTTCACACCCTTTTAAGCTTCTCACATAACTCTATTTATGGTCATCGGATTGAAAAATCAAATGGAATCAACAACTAGAGTTAAAAAAGGTAAGTCACTTCCCTTTCATTTTTCCAAAACACAAACGATAATAACGAGCAATACAGGAAAACCCATAAGAAAATACATCAATGAGAGACTCTTGGATGTCACCGACTGTATTTACCACGTGTCAAACGCCTCGTCAGTAATTACGCAACCCGTGAGAAAGATGGGATAAACTCTCTTGTTCTGGTAATGATCATGCACATGAAATTGAAGTTAATATACAAAGTTACATAACGAGGAACAACAACGAGAAATACATAAGTAGTATCTATCCGTCCACAAGATTGCCTATAAGTAGGTGACTTTTCTATTACATTCCCTTTGCGGCAACAGGGAAGATCATTTCAATTCCAGAAGTTTAATAAATGAATAATTGGTTGGAGACTACGAATGGTTAAACTGGCAGAAAACAATTGTGCCCAAAAATCAGCAGCAAGGAATCAATCACGAGTTCAGTTTTAATTTCGTCCTCCACAACTCTCCGATGACCTTCTTTGGTTGGGGATTATCCGGTCCTTTGTCTCGCTGTCCGGATGTAAAATACAACCACCCATTCCAGAAACCAACTAGTGTGGTTTTAACTCGAAATGGAAGTTTCCCAATAACTGACCACTTCTGCCATTATCGAAAATCAGAAGAGTAGAAACTAACATTAGAGCTTAAACCCTTAGGACATAAGGAGCACAGGGGTGATACGTATCACAACAAATTAGAAATATTGCCGAGATTTCGATAACAGAAGAAACTTATGACCCGTTATAGAAGCTATAGCTTGTTTGTAGAAATATGAAGCCTGCATTTATATCAATTACCACATACAAGCTACCATCCTATTTGCATAAGTTGAGCAACTAAAAGAAAAAGATAAGGTAGTTAACACATTGTGGTACTATAATCTCCATATCAACAGTGACTACCTTGCTGTTTGAGTGGTTTTTTGTTCATTTGTGTGGGTAAACAATTAAGCATATATATTGGTGTCGTAAAAGTATAATGAGGAGAACGGAAATACCAGTGTATTCAAGTTGAACTGGAATATTTCACCAACCAAAGTCATCTTCTTAGTTACAGGGTGCTTCTCAGTTGTGCCTCCAACGATAACAATAGAGTTGTTAACAACAGTCCAAGCGAATTCAATATGGGAATCTGGTTTAGGCATAGGAGGCAACTCTTTCCACTTCATTTCGTCATCCATCATGTAAACATCACTATATACAACCTGAAACAATCAGAAATAACAAAATGAAACTTATATAAGAGGACAAGTCCAGATTACTCCTTTGGTTGGGAGTTTTAGCCAAACTCATTCTGTGTTTGGGTATGGCTCTGAAGCTTCTTGTAATTAATTGAGTGGTTCCTTTGTAAATAGTGCCTGATTCTAACTGGGCGAGTAAAATATGTGTTAGTGTGTGTGTATTAAAAAGCCTAAAAGATCCATCATAGATCCTTTTTCATCTGAACAAATGATAACGCATAAAAAGGGAATATCTGGTGCATCAGAACTCACTAATAAAAAAAGAATAATAAATATGTTAACATCTTACCTCATTCCTACGAGAGCACTTGAAAATAGGTGATCCGGGTTTGGCCATGAAATCACCCTCTTGACCACCGATAAGATAAAGACGATCATCAACAACTACACAAGCCCTACAAGAAAATACAAATGACAGAGAACACTGGTGAATTTTAGTTGATAGGATATGCCATAGATAAAGCAAGATTGGCAACTAAAAGGTCACATTGTAGTGGGAGGGTTGGGCGAAGAGGTCTTAAATTTAAAAAATATGTCAGAAAGGACCACCCAAGGCAGCACAAATATTATTGAAAGGAATTACTCCACCAGTTTTCATATTTCACTTGCATTTACCATTTACCACTCCAGGAGAGACAAATTTTGATACATTGGTAATTTGGTATCCAGTAACAACAAGCCCTTTCTACCTCTATCTACTGACTCTAGGATTTCTGACCAGAGCTTTGAAAGTTAGCTCATTAAACATTCTAAGCAGGGCTTGTGTGTGATTGTCTTCATGTTATTGCCCTAGATGATCATTGTCATTGCTAAGGATAAGACAAAATCTGGAATCGATTCACAAGTGTAAAAGAGGACCTATTAAATGACCAAGAGAATACTTGTACTAACAGATTGCCCAGAACTTTCAGTTATGGTTGTTGGTATATAAGTTCAAAAATTATGATTTAATATTATGTATTTTCAAGACAGTAAACAGACCTATGAGGTCCTCCCCGGGGAATAGGAATTTCAGTCCTCCATTCCTTTTCTAATACTTTCCCATCTTTTACAGCAAGACTCCAATGGTCCACTTCAGGTGTATATCGGTTCTCCCCACTACCACCCATTACATGTAGTCTACCTTTCCAAAGTTGAGTTGCTGGTGCATACCTGAAAAATTCCAAGTTAAAACCAAACAATCTAAGCATGAACTACAACGACCTAGTAATGCAAATCTTAAACTACAAAGACCTAGTTCACAACATCAGCACAAAAGTTTTCGTCAGCTAGTAGAAACCATATATGGGCACCGAGGCGAGCACACTAATATAAGCGTGAGTGTGGGTTTTTGCAGCACTACAAACCAATGGAATAAAAATCTAAAACCGGGTAAAGATTAACTTGGAGCTATCAGTTCTGATTACTAACTAACATTCAGGTGTAATAGTTTTACAAGAATACGGTGGTGTTTAACAACAGAAAACGCAAAAACAAACCTAGGAACTGGTAGAGGGGGCATGTCCCGCCACTGCTTTGTCTCAGTATCAAGCACAAACGTATGAGCTGTGGGCCCTCTGCACTGTGGCCCATACTGTCCTGTGACAATGTATATGTACCTTCCGTCGGTTACCATTCCTAGATGTGAATGTGCCATTTCTTTTGGCATATCAAATCTTTCTCCCCATGTGTTATCACTGAAATTGTAGATATCAACATGCGAATGTACCTAAGGAAAACAATAAACAGAAAACGTTACCGCCTTTTTCGAGTTTTGGACCTTCTGGTGAACAAGTGAATAAATACCTAACCTACCCCAACGGCAGCAGTTGGTAATGGTAATCCCCAGTAGTTGAGATGAGGCTAATTCTTTGATGTCACCACTCATCAAGCAGTTTGCAATTTTCCTTGCTTTTTTTTTTGTTGGTAATAAACATTAAAAATCTAATTGGAAATGGATATGGGGATAATGTGTCCCTCAGTAATAGGGAAAAAAAAGCAGAGAATTACATAATGAAGTTGCAACTATTTCAGAAAGGCACACAATCAAGATGAATTAAACTACAATGCGTTGATCTAGGTTCCCGTAAGAGACACCACAGTTCTACTCAATACCAATTAAGTCAAAGTATGTCTCCCCCGAAAAAAATACCCTTTTTCACCCCATCTGATCTCACTTTTTCACTACTGGATTCCAAAAATTCAAAGAACAACGATTCTCCTAAGCAGTTTTTTTTAATTTTGCTTAATCGCCACTCCTAGAAATCCCTAGTCCACTTGCAAGACGACAATATTGTGCTAAATCTTGAGATATCTATCAAATCTTTAAGTCTAATAAAATACTTCTCCTCATTTACACATATTGATGGCAAACATGGCTAGTTTCTACATGATTGCATAGTTTTATTTTCTATCATTTAAGTTTTTATTTACCCTCACTTAATACAGTGTGAAGTATTCACATTGAGTACTTCCACATTATACTAATCGATCTTCACTTCTAAAAGTCACATAACCCATAAATAGCCATAAGTATTCTTTATGTATTTTAAAAGTTATATCCAGAAAAGCATAAAAAGGTTATTTCATTAAGGGACTACAACAAGATCTAAAGGAAACGTAAGAGCAATCTCTACAACAGTCAGTGGGGCAAAGAAGTTAAAATAAATCTTCTCAAAGTATGAAAAGCTGGATGTAAAAAATATGCAACTGAGACTATTTGAATCCAAAAAAAAGGTCATAGCACGAACCAAGCAGTAGAGATGGGATGAACAATAAAAAAGAATTTAGTAAATGAGCAAAACAATGTTCTCACATAATCAATGGTACCATATCCAGCAAACACGAAGAGAAGATTCTTTATCTGTATAGCAGCCCCATCCAAACGAGGTACGGGTGCCTCAGCCATACCTTCCCATTTTAATTCTGGTCCAGGCAAATCAGCGAAGGTTGCTGATAAAACTCTTCCAGGAGCAGTATCATTTTTGTAATCGACGCTTCCCTGTAGGTCACATAAACAATGGTCAATATTCACAGCTGAAACAAGGATCGACTAACTTTAATTGTCATTAAATTCACATAACAGGAAAGAATACTACAAGAGAGTAAAAGGGACATGTATTGGCTTCAAAGAAGTGGAAATTCACGATATATTCTCATAGCTTGTGTTGTTCCTACATTTTCAAGTGGAACCCGAAAAGCATTCCATTTCTCAAAAACCAAACAATACCGGT